ACAAAAAATCCAACAGTCTTCCCATATTGCTATATTTGAATGTGAAGAAATAATCACCGAGACTGTCACCATTTGACTGTTTCTAGTGGCTTGTGATCGTTTTGCCCTATGCTGTCAAACTTCTTTGTGGAGGAGCTTATTGACATGCCTAGGCATATTTTCCGGAATGAATTTATTACCCAAGTAATCTAATTCTAGCCCACCTGAAAGGCTCATTGTTTTCTCTAATACTATCCATGCGATAAAAGAGGTTTTCATATATTTTATGTGATGTAATCGAAAAACAACACTAATAACTTTCTGCGGGGCAGACCAAAAATATTGTATATGCTGTAATCTAGCATGATTTCACCTGTAAGGAGATATAATTTTTCAGAATCAGTTGTGAATAATTAGGAATATGGTGATGAAACTGACAAATGTTTCCTTTAAATAAAACCCTCATACAGTAATGGTCATTCATTTGTATTTAAAAACTAGTTTTTGTTGGTGCATGTTCCTAATCGGTAGAGTGCATTACTCCATTCCTTTACTAGGTGCACATTACCAGTTTGATCAAAAACAAGGTATGAAAACTCAAATTGCATTGTACGCAACTCATACATACAAACTGTAAAGTCCTGGTACGATTTGCTGCAATTTACCTCTCCCAGACGCTGCTTGAGGCAGTGATTTTGTGTACAAGTGGTTATGGCCTTTTAATTGCTATTTTGGGATGCTTCTGGAGCCTGATTTGATTGCTATGATATGACAGATGTTCCTTGTCAAGTTCATCCAATTGATGTCATTTTGTCGTTGCATATTTTGATGGTTGGGGGAGAGCTACAGGCATGCTGTGGAAGTTGGTCTTGGGTATATAATAGACCATGTAAATGTGTATCAGTTGAAGATTGAGAGNGTTTCAATTGATGTCATTTTGTCGTTGCATATTTTGATGGTTGGGGGAGAGCTACAGGCATNCATCCAATTGATGTCATTTTGTCGTTGCATATTTTGATGGTTGGGGGAGAGCTACAGGCATGCTGTGGAAGTTGGTCTTNACATTGTTTTCTCTAATACTATCCATGCGATAAAAGAGGTTTTATGTGATGTAATCAAAAAACAACACTAATAACTTTCTGCGGGGCAGACCAAAAATATTGTATATGCTGTAATCTAGCATGATTTCACCTGTAAGGAGATATAATTTTTCAGAATCAGTTGTGAATAATTAGGAATATGGTGATGAAACTGACAAATGTTTCCTTTAAATAAAACCCTCATACAGTAATGGTCATTCATTTGTATTTAAAAACTAGTTTTTGTTGGTGCATGTTCCTAATCAGTAGAGTGCATTACTCCATTCCTTGACTAGGTGCACATTACCAGTTTGATCAAAAACAAGGTATGAAAACTCAAATTGCATTGTACGCAACTCATACATACAAACTGTAAAGTCCTGGTACGATTTGCTGCAATTTACCTCTCCCAGACGCTGCTTGAGGCAGTGATTTTGTGTACAAGTGGTTATGGCCTTTTAATTGCTATTTTGGGATGCTTCTGGAGCCTGATTTGATTGCTATGATATGACAGATGTTCCTTGTCAAGTTCATCCAATTGATGTCATTTTGTCGTTGCATATTTTGATGGTTGGGGGAGAGCTACAGGCATGCTGTGGAAGTTGGTCTTGGGTATATAATAGACCATGTAAATGTGTATCAGTTGAAGATTGAGAGCGGATTCTAGTTTTCTGCTGTTGTCAAGTGTATAAGCTCTACTAATAAGTTGTCACCGCAATTCTTAATTTATTTATCGTCATGTTCTTCCTTTTTGTTGTATTACCAAAATTTGTAAGTATTCTGCTCTGTACATATTTCTAATAAAAGAATTTTGAATAGTTGGGGATACTTATTCAACGCACTATGTAATGTGTGTGCACAGACCTCAGTATTACAGGTGAATAGGCCAGTAGTCGAGGCGCCTCTCTCAATGGTTAAGAGAATCAGACTTCCATTGGTGCTGCTCACTGTGTTATGACAGCTTCTGTCATTTTCACTTAAGGGTGCCGGCTTTGGTAGCTTCTTGTACGGTAAATTAGATGGATCTGCTCTAGACTCGCAGCGAAATTACCTCACAACAGTTGAGGAGGAGTTTCAAACTGATTCATCATCCCTGTGANGTTGGTGCTGCTCACTGTGTTATGACAGCTTCTGTCATTTTCACTTAAGGGTGCCGGCTTTGGTAGCTTCTTGTACCGTAAATTAGATGGATCTGCTCTAGACTCGCAACGAAATTACCTCACAACAGTTGAGGAGGAGTTTCAAACTGATTCATCATCCCTGTGAATCCATGATACCATCTCAATAATGTCGAAAGGTGTGTTTCCAGCTAAAACCGTTATTTGTTCGTAGTTTGTTTAATGGTGTGAGTGTTTCAGTTTTACTTGTAATTTGACACTTGCTGGAATTTGATTGTGTCGAGGGGTCCACTCGAATGTATGTATTGACGTACCTTCTCGGAACAACTGGGATGGTACCAACCCGGCCAAAGAGTCGACCAGACTTGAAATAGAAAAGTTTAGTTAGATCAGCTAATTGGACTCTGCAAACAATGCCACAATTGCTTTATTCATGTGGGTTGGGTTGGGTTGGGTTTGGAGGGCAAAAGGGAGAACAATGATATTACACAAGGTTATTTGCTATATATGGTATTACATAATTAGTGATGTATGATATCATTATATAATAATAAGATTATATGTACGTGAGCATATTCATCATATGTTGAGTTGAATATGAACCTATTGTATTGAGATGAATGACCTGTGCATGTAGATAACTATTTCCTGCATTTAATTATCTAGATAGTTCCATGAGATGATGATCTCAAATAGTTGATAAGTTCCGACCCATGTGATCTTTGTCCTTTTAAAGTGGAGCACATTCAATTGAGCCACATTGTTGGGATGGGTTTGGCTCCTCTCCAACAATAAATAATTAATTGGATGACACCCTATTGTTTTTGGACGGTGAAGATCTATTTATTTTAGCAAATTCTATCTTAATAAAAAAGAATACTTTGAATTTGAAATTCAAAATAAAGTGATTTTGTTCTTGTGGATACATTTTCACCATCCAAAAATAATTAAACAGAAATACTAGATTGACTAAATTTTGGGATCAAATTTAGAGTTCAAATGACATGGTAGTTGATTATTGAGAGTTTTTATTGGGGCCCAAATGACATGATACCAATGAAAGAAGTCCAAGTCAATTGTCATATCATTTGAGCTCTAAATTTGATTCTAAAATTTGATCAGTTTAACGTTACTTATAATTAAAAGGTCTTCGAATTATCTTAGTGATCGGAGTAGAGCCTAACCCGTTGAGATTTTACACGTGTCTTTTCCACTGTCCATGTAGTTTTAGGAATGNATATATTTACGTATACTTATATAAAATACATATATATTTATATATGTGTGTGTGTGTGTCTATATATATATATATATATATTATGAAATTGTCAATATAAAAATAATTTTTTTATTAATATTTGAATTACTGTTCAAATATATTTTTAAACTGTCTAAATATGTTTTACTATTTTCTGTATTGTAAAATTATTTTTGAAATCATCTAACCAAACAAATTTTTTATCTCAAAAAATATCAAAACTACTTTCTTAAAACTCTTCTCAAAAACTGTTTTCGAATATTTTTTTTTAAACGCAAACCAAACAGGCCCTATCTTTAAAATTTTCCATTTCGACACTAACAAGTTTATATCCATTAATAATATTATTTTAATCTAATTAATTATTATTATTGGATTGGTGGGGGTCCCAACTAACATTAGAGCCCACTATTAATCCTTCGAAAAATGTAGAAGGATTCAAGTTTCTGCTTCGTCACAAAAAAAAAAAAACNGTAATAAAAAATATAGAAAATAATTTATGTTAACCAATGATGGTGATTAACTGTCAATCACCATCTTCCGGTAAAACTACTGTTTCTTGTCCAATAACAACACGGCATTTGAAGCAATCGTAANCCTCATTTTGGCTATGGTCGTGATTGAGTTGGTCTTGGTCAGTCTCTGCATTATGCATATTATATTGTCCAGGAATTTTATTTTTTTTCCAGTTTTCTGGGTAATCAACTTTATTTATTTTATTTGTTTAGACGTCTAATTTAATCATCTTTATTCATGATGACTTCTTCNCGAAGTCAAACCAAAAATACCCTAATTTACTATGCATGCTAGAATTGGTGTTTTTCAACATAGACAGAGGCTGGGTTTCAGTGCACAGAACCATTGTTGATGTACCGGAATTTGGGTTAANCTTTCTCGGACGAACAATATTAATAATAAAAAAAAAAGGATTAAACAAGTAAAATGTATTGTTATCAACTTTCAACTACCACCAATCAGTTTTGGCAACTAATTGCCAATTTTTTTTTAATCATTTCTACTTTTCACACGCGGAGACACATGACAATCATNTCTCGGACGAACAATATTAATAGTAAAAAAAAAAGGATTAAACAAGTAAAATGTATTGTTATCAACTTTCAACTACCACCNGGGACTTTAGGCGGTTCAGCAGTTCCTAAATCAACACGTGTAAGGAAGTAGCCATTATGAAACTCAAAAAACACCGAGGAAGGGAGCCGAGTAAGAATGGCTCAGAGGAGCCGAGTGCATATATTGACACTCGCATTTAATACAATTCGACCACTTATTTATGACGATGTGAATGACTAAGACAGGATTATTAACGAGCACATGCTACCTCAAGACCTAAGCTTGTAGTCATGATAACTAGATATTAATGACTATTACGCCAAGTATAACTCTTCGGTGTATCCCGAGGTACTGTTCCTCGACCATTAAAAACTCAGTTNCCAATCAGTTTTGGCAACTAATTGCCAATTTTTTTTTAATCATTTCTACTTTTCACACACGGAGACACATGACAATCATATCACATTACATGTATACAAGCAATTTTCTTGGATAGGTATATATATATGTATATCGTTGTATATACACACAGACAAGCAATAAAACCCCGTCTCAGATGTGAGTGTGTGGATCTCTCTCTCTCTCTCTCTCTCTCCGTGGTGCATACAATATGGCAACCAACAAGGGAGGAAATACTGCGCCATCACAACCTAGCCCAGAGTGCTGCATGTGTGGAGACTATGGCTTGTCTAATGAGCTTTTCAGATGCAAAGTCTGTCAATTCAGATCTCAACACAGGTAATTATCAACCAACAAAAACGAAGCAAAACTTATCAAATTCTTTTGTAGTCCTTTATGGGTTTCAATCAGTAATTAAAAAACAACACCACTTTCTCTGAGTTTTTGGGTCTATATTTGGCCCTCCAATTTTGCAGATACTGTAGCAACCTGTACCCAAAAGCCGAGTCATACCGAGTTTGCAATTGGTGCCTGAGTCAAAAAGATCATGACCCAGCAGCAGAGAAAACACAGAACTCATCTAATTCATCATCATCAAATAAGAATAGTCAGGATGATGATATGAAGACCAATAAAAAGAAGAGTGGCAGTGATAATAATCATGGAGGAGGCATAAAGGGTAGAAAGGTCTCTCTGAAGTTACAAGTCAACGGCCCCATCAAGAAGCAGAAGTCGCCGGAGCAATCGCCGTCGCCGTCGTCGGCGACATGGAGGAGGATCATCACTAGGGGTGAAATTGAGGAGAGGCTGAGGAGGACAAAGTCAGAGGAGATATCAAATGGTGGGGTCAAGAAACAGGTCCTTAGAAATAAGGTGAGAAGGTATAAACTCTTGGATGAGGTTACAAGCCAATGAAAATGAATATGAATATGATACCCCCATTTACATATAGATGGTTGTGCTTTATTTTAAGTTCTTCTATTATGAGAATCTCTCCAAGACAAGATCATGTTAGAGATTCCTTGAAAGGTAAATTCCGAACACTTAAGATTGTAAAATAATCACCGATGAATTAAGAAAGTCGTCAATAAAATCGAAACCAAAATACCCTATTTTACAATGCATGTGGGAGTCGGTGTTTTGGTTTTGTTGTAGTTGTTATGCTCCCAAAAGTCTCAAGATTCAATATAGACATAGCTGGGGTTCACTGCATAGAACCATTGATATGAGGTACGGAAATTAGGGTTAATGAAGTTGGTCATCTTGACTTTGAATCATTTCCCTGCAAATTCTAAATAGAATGTGTGGAAGAAATAAGATTTAAATCCTCTTTATTACATTTTTATTCAATTTTATTTTAAATCAAACATCCTGGAATTGATAAAGAGCTTACTTATAAATAACAGATCCCACTATTATTAAGAATATATAATTTATCATGAAATAAAATCAATAAAAAGTGTAATAAAAAATATAAAAAATAATTTATGTTAACCAATGATGGTGATTAACTGTCAATCACCATCTTCCGGTAAAACTACTGTTTCTTGTCCAATAACAACACGGCATTTGAAGCAATCGTAAGTTTTATTTTTTATTTTTTTTAATTTACGCTTGTTTTGAGAGAATTAAGAAAGTCATTAACAAAGTCAAACCAAAAATACCCTAATTTACTATGCATGCTAGAATTGGTGTTTTTCAACATATACAGAGGCTGGGTTTCAGTGCACAGAACCATTGTTGATGTACCGGAATTTGGGTTAAGGAAGTTGGTCATCATGACTTTGAATCCTTTTCCTAAAATTTCAAATACAATAATATGATAAAAAAAAAATAGATCATTTTTATTATACTTTTTAAAGGGACTTTAGGCGGTTCAGCAGTTCCTAAATCAACACGTGTAAGGAAGTAGCCATTATGAAACTCAAAAAACACCGAGGAAGGGAGCCGAGTAAGAATGGCTCAGAGGAGCCGAGTGCATATATTGACACTCGCATTTAATACAATTCGACCACTTATTTATGACGATGTGAATGACTAAGACAGGATTATTAACGAGCACATGCTACCTCAAGACCTAAGCTTGTAGTCATGATAACTAGATATTAATGACTATTACGCCAAGTATAACTCTTCGGTGTATCCCGAGGTACTGTTCCTCGACCATTAAAAACTCAGTTGTAGATGTCAGGCATCGATCAGAGGAACTTGAGTGTCCAAGGATAGCCATAAGTGCTTGGCATGGCCCCAAACACTTGTCCTATCATCCTAACATTAAAGATGCGAAAATCTGGGTGAAAAACACTAATTGCACGTGAGTAAGAATGTTAGGCATTAAATATTCATATGGAACTTTAGGCCTTTGCACTTATTACTAATGTAGGGATAAATACTACTCAAAAAAATGAATTAAAGTTCGCAAAACTAAATTAAGATAAGATAGACACCGTTAAAACCTCAAATTTAACACTAAATTAAGTTTTGGAAGGAACAACTCGGGTGCTCACTCAATCTTTTTTCTGACGCTACAATTATTTCAGGTTCACCGTACAAATGATCGTTGTGTCAATCTGATGCTGGAAATCTACTGTGCACTTTCATTCATATTTATTTAAAACCAATCATAATAAATTGGTAAAGAAACTCACTTCTAAATAGAGGTCAACTGTATGTAATCTATCATGGAAGAAATTTAATAAAAAGTATAATAATTTATTTATCAAAAAAAATTGTTAAAATAATTTATGGTAACCAATAATGGTAATTTATGGTAACCAATAATGGTGATCAATCACCATCATCCTGTAAAACTACTGTTCCTTGTCTAATAGCAACACGGCATTGCTCTTTACCCACAGTCTTCGCAAGTTTCTCTCTTTTTTTTTAAAAAACTGCGATCGTTGTGAGAATTTCCAAGGTACTTTTATGGTTGACTTGACCTATGACCTATGACCTATGACTTACCAATCACTATCATCTTCCACGAGGGACATTTTAGTTTTATTTTTATACTACACTACCAATACACCGTATGGGTTGCACATAAACAAATTTAAATAATAATATTTTTATAAAAATAAAAATTATATGTGTAATTAAATTAAATAATAAATTAGGTTTTGAATAATTAATACCTATTTAAATTATAATTAAATTTAATTATTAATTTATTATATAAGTTTTTAAGTATCTAATCTATTATTTATTTAAGTATTTTTTCGACTCTTTTAAGTATTTGTACTTCTAATTATAGTATAGAAGAGTCATATTAAAACACATTTGATACATTAAGGGTGTAATATGAAAAATTTAATTTATGAGGGTGCAAAATAAAAAATTTTAAATCTTTCAAGATAATTAAATGATAGATTTAAATTAATTAATTAATTAGATCACTTATAATATTATTATATTATTGCATACCCAAAAAATAAAATATATAGATATAGATAATTGTATGTAACTGTAGTTTTAAAAAATGACTTCTAAAACTACCTATCTTAATTATAGTTAAATTTAACAATTTATTTTATCAGTTTTTGAGTATCTAATCTATTGTTTATTTAGGTATTTCTTTGACCCATTTAAGCATTTGCCCATCTAATTATAGTATAAAAGGGTCACATTGAAATACCTTTGATACATTGAAGATGCAATATGGTCAATTTAACCTATAGGTGTGCAAAGTAAACATTGTAGAATCTTTCTGAATGCAAAGTGTAATTCGCTCTTTGTTAAATAGATCGATTAGTTCACTTATAATATTATTGTATACCAAAAAATAAAATTTATAAATATAGATAATTGTATGTAACTGTAGTTTTAAAAAATGAGTTCAAAAAATATTAAAAGTCTTTATAAAAGATTCTAAAATAAGTTAAAAAATAAATTACATGAAAGTATATAAGTGAGTATAACTGATTTTATTATAATAATTAGTAATAAATTAAAAAATCATTTTTTTGGGGGCAGGGGGAGAGGGAGGGGGAATGGAGCTTGATCCTCCCATTAGACCAAATGTCCGTTAGTTATATATATATATAAGTGAGTATAACTGATTTTATTATAATAATTAGAAATAAAATAAAAAATCTGTTTTTTTTTTAGGAGAGGGAGGGGGAATGGGGCTTGATCCTCCCATTAGACCAAAGACTCGTTGGTTATATCTATATAATAAAACAGGAGTGTGTTTGAATTTTGTCCCAGTCATATTTTCTCCCTCAAAACCATCACTAATCACTTATCTCACCCATCATCTCTCTGTCAAATTCAAACGTTAAATCGCATCACTCATTTTTATCACCTATTTAATTATTTATATATTTCTTTCATAAAAATATCACAGCACTTATTTTTATTATATATTTAATTATTTAATATTTAATTAATTTGTAGTTAATGTATTTTGATCCCCTCTTGAGACTCAAACTACCACACCCTACAGACTACCCATTGGACCCGCCATAACGCCACATCTTGTCTAAACACAACCATACTTACCAAGCATATCACCAAATTGAACCAACCACCCAACCTCACAATGGTATNAATATATATATATATATATATATATATATATAAGTGAGTATAACTGATTTTATTATAATAATTAGAAATAAAATAAAAAATCTTTTTTTTTTTAAGGAGAGGGAGGGGGAATGGGGCTTGATCCTCCCATTAGACCAAAGACCCGTTGGTTATATCTATATAATAAAACAGGAGTGTGTTTGAATTTTGTCCCAGTTATATTTTCTCCCTCAAAACCATCACTAATCATTTATCTCACCCATCATCTCTTTGTCAAATTCAAACGTTAAATCGCATCACTCATTTTTATCACCTATTTAATTATTTATATATTTCTTTCATAAAAATATCACATCACTTATTTTTATTATATATTTAATTATTTAATATTTGATTAATTTGTAGTTAATGTATTTTGATCCCCTCTCGAGACTCAAACTACCACACCCTAAAGACTACCCATTGGACCCGCCATAACGCCGCATCTTGTCTAAACACAACCATACTTACCAAGCATATCACCAAATTGAACCAACCACCCAATCTGACAATGGTATCAAAAAGAAAAAAAATCCAACCAAATGCTCATTCACTCGATGTTCTTAAATACAATAATGGTTTGGCATTCACCCGTAAATAAAGAAAACGAACCTCATGAAATCTCCTATGAATATAACATTAACATAGAATATGGACATGAGAAGTACCCTCATTCACCAAATTTTGAGGAAGTTTGTGTGTAATATTTTAAATATCAAGTCTAAGGGCAAAGTTAAAAAATTATTTATGGGTGGGCACTGAATATTTTTAAAAACTTATTTTTTTTCTTGCAATTGATAAAAATATGATAATGCATTTATATTTAATTACATCATATTTAATACTTAAAAATTCATTAAACGTAATTTTCCCTTTTTTTTAATCTGTTCCTTTGAACAATTGTGTAAGCACTTCATTATAATCACAGAAAAAAGTCTAATAGGGTACCACAAAATAAAAGAAAGAAAATCATACAATTGGTCAACATGTGACCAGGAAGACATAACTATAACTACACAAGCAGACCATGCACCTCAACTACAAAAATAACATCCCATATTGGTTGTTGAGAGTTGTGGAATTAACTCTGGAATAGATCGTAGACTCAAATTTCTTGAGTTCAATTAAGGCTAGTGACTACTATATTTAATTGATATTTTATTAAGTTGTTGGTGATTCCAGATATTCAGAGTTTATTTTGTAAAGATGGGTCCAATGTACTAATGTCTTGGAGATATTATTTGTTAAGATCTCGGCTAAACAATCCATTATTTATTACACCTCAAATTTGAAATCAAAAACATCTAGCGATCGAGAGCAAACCGCCTTCAATTCTTTATGGTGATAAGCTAAAGGTTCCTTTAAGTTTAATCTGTTTTGGGGACAAAGTATTGACCTTGACTCGTTTGAATCACCATTAATTCTCTTCACCTAGTCAAGCATGAAATGCTTGGTTGTTGATTTTATCTANCAAAGTATTGACCTTGACTCGTTTGAAAGACCATTAATTCTCTTCACCTAGTCAAGCATGAAATGCTTGGTTGTTGATTTTATCTAAAAATGGTGTTCACACCAAAACCCATTAGGCCACAAGTAT